CCGGTCCTGCAGGTCCACCTGGCCCACCAGGACCTCCTGGTCCTAAAGGACCGGATGGTACAGGCGGTGGACCGGCACAACCAGGACCACCAGGCCCGCCTGGACCACCAGGAAAACCAGGACCACCAGGCCCAGATGGACCCCCTGGTGCACCTGGACCAGCAGGTGTGCCCGGTGGCGATGGAGCCTACTGTCCTTGTCCACCAAGATCGAGCGCTATTCTTCGTCAAAGAAGTCGTGCCATTGCCAGGGGACGGGTTGTTGCGAAGCACTAGTCGAATGTTCTATGGATATTTTCGTGAACTTCTTTTGGATTGCTTCCTCGTGGACGAAATAAAAGATTTTCAGTCCCTTTCGTCGAAATATTTGAAAGTCCTGCAGAAGAAAGGAAGTGTAGCTCTATACTATCCTTGAAAATGAGTGAGGTCTCACAAATGAGTGCTTTTGCACTGATGTAATAGAAACTGTTAATATGATTCCATTCAAATTACGTTGGATAATGACCACTCACGTATTTGTGTAAAAATTTATTCAAAAATGCATTCTGCAAAGTTGTAAGATGCTAATGCAAAGTTCTTGAGCATTACGAAGCATCACTATTGATGGCCACAATCATTTCAGTTTACTTGTGCTGATGTTTCCAAAATATCCGGCTTGCAAAATGATTCCAAGCTGCGATATGTTTCCAAGATAATCAATGCAAAGGCACCCTGCTTAACAGAAAAACCTTACCATGTTGTTCCAAATTGTCAATTCGTTAAAGTCTGGAGTATCTTAAAGTGAAGCTACGGTTAAAACCTATGCGCTGTAATTTCCATAAAAAAATTGTTTCAGCAAAGTGGCGAACGAATTCACGTTTCTTATATGATGCAAGCCCTCCTAAACTTGTAAATAGAGCCATATGTTATCATATCACCACATTTTGCGCACCAAATAAATAAAGTAACAGAGACAACTGGGAATAGGTGTCAAAGAGAAAATGTTTGAATGAGACTATTCCGTTTTCGATTTTGTAAAAGGAAAAAAAAACTAAAGAAAAACAATCTTTGCAAAGTATTACCAGAGCGTCACCTCTGCAACGCAGAGGTTTGTACTGTCTTTACTATTTGTATGTCTTCCTCGTAAATATAATGATGACTTTGAAGCTTATCGCGCAATGGTGGTTGCTAGTCGCCACAAAGATAATGATCGCCTTGGGCTACATGTCTGTGCAAAAATCTTTCCAATTTTTTGAGTAAAATCCTTGACTAAACGACTTTTGAGCAGTCATTTCATTTTGGCGCTGTTTTATCAGTACACCAAACCTAATCAATTCTTGGGCTAATTCATGGCTTGCAGATTTACTTCTTAGGCAAATACATGACCCAACGAAAAGTCGAACAGCGACCTAATTCTACGCAAAAGCCTCGACTTGTTTCTCAAATGACCCGTGCTTCGAATCCATTCGTCATTGCGCAAGATGAACCTAGACGTTGCTTGCGTTGGGCAAAGAATTGGCTCAAGATCTTATCTGTAGTTTGCTCTAACAAGGA